AATATCTTTAGAGCTATGATTAATTGAATGTTTAGATTTCTTTGTAAACTAAATTTGTTTTAACATCTGGAGGTGTGATCAAACCTAGAGAGAGTGTAGAAGAAGAATGACACACATAACTTTTAGCAAGTCAATGCTACAAATGAAAAACATGGTAGAAGATAGGACTTAGTAGTTTCTAGCAAATCAATGCTATTAGTGAAACATTTAAGGAGTGAGTAGCTTGGAGTGATGTTTACTCCTTGTGAAAAAACTTCTAGTCTGGGAGTAGACTAGGCACTAAGTATATTTGTTGGTAATAACTTAATGGAAATCCATCAACTCGAGGATGAGACCAGATGTAGAAGGATTACACCACAAGTAAACCATGATATATCATGCATCCTCTTTAATTTCAGTACTCACAACATCACAAGCCACACTCATCCTTAACAGGTTGTAGAATGATGAACAGACTTTGTCAATATAGAATCACTCTATATACCTAGTCCACTCAAAAACCAGGTTCACGTGTTCTCTTACACGAGAAAAGGCTTGTCTAGCTTCGTTCATTCTCTTCATTGTTAAAGGTTCACATAAATCTAAATGATCTAAAGTATTCTACGATAGCAACCTCAATCTCTATCCAAAATACTGTAGTAGCAGTCTGTTGAACTAATTAACCTACTGTTTAGCCCGCTGACAACACCGTGTTGTTTAACTAGCTAACAACCCCCTAATGATAAGCATGTCGAATACGAACACTTCTGATTGTTGTTTGAAACGTCATTCCATCAAACTTAAAGGGTCATAACCTTTGTTACTATGAGCATCACACCATAAGAGCCAAGAATTTTGTCGTTTGTTTTAAGGTCTCCCAAAATATTTTGGAATTCACTTTATTAGAGGGGTAACCTTGAATAAAACGAAAACTTTAAAAGTATATTCACTCCTCTCTAGACGCTTACCTCTACTAGGGACCATCAGAGTTGATTGGTAGGCGTTCTGGTGAAGTTAGGATATATGCCTTAGGACAATCACAGTTTATGATTTATCAATGAACATTTAATGCTCATTAATTAATAAAGTCACAAACTCGTTTTATGTTAATTATTATTGTGAGTTTTCTTTATTAATATTTAGTCCCTGAATATCATGTCTAGTAGCTAATTAAGTACATGACTTGATTGTGGAATGCTACACTTTAAAATAAGCAAAATATTCTAATTGTCCCTGGTCTAATATTATTAATTTGGGACATTAATAATTAATAGACCAATATGTGGATTAACTGATGGTTATATTCCACTAGCTATGGGTATATAGATATCAAGTTAATAACATAGATGCTTGTTAGTGAACAAGCTCATTGGACAGACTCAACTTGAGGACACTGCTAGGTTATATGTCATCAGTGTTATTGTCCTCAATAATGATGAGGTGCTATATTCTTATACTTGAGATAATCATAGTTACTTACATGAGAATTAATATGTATTAACACCATTAAATGTTATCTTCAAATGAGTAATTATAAAGGCGGTGATTGTACATATTATTAACCATGCAGTGGTATGTGAATTATCAAGATAGTTTTTGTCACTCTCGTATAACGAGAGAACAATATCTATTGGCCCCTTGACAAGTAAAATTAATCATCATGGTCATGCTCAAATGAAGTGCCATTTGTTCAAGATTAATCTTACATGGTAATCAAGAAATATTAATTGAGAATAACAAGGATGACACGGCCTAACTGTAACACCCCGGCCCAATCGGACCCGAGGTAGTTACCCCAGACCTCTAGTTCTGTCCTCACAAACCAACACGAGCCTTTACCGCGCACTTTGTCCCCACTCATGCGTGCCCTGAGAAACTTCTCAGCGGGTCACTCATCCCAAGACTACTTCCGTGCAAGCACGCTTAACTTTGAAGTTCTTGGGTGATGAGCTCCCTTAAAAGGAGATGCACCTCTGTTGGTATGAGTAGTACTATTAATCCATTTAAATTAAATCTCAAGTGTTACACTAACCTTATCTCAATTAAGATATCGTTTGACAAAAGAGAATCATTAGCACACATTAATCATTAAAAGGTCATGTCAGATTTAATTGACATTTAATATATTTTGGATAGTCATAATGTCTTGCTAGAGGCCGCTTATGATTTGTGAGGCTCGAATTAATTTTCTAGCCCACTCACTGCCAACGATATATAAACATACAGGGTCACACACCTAAGTGATTTAGATCTTTAATATTTGTTAATAACATTAAAATAGCCTGATTAGCCCAATTCGAAATAGGTTTTCGAATGGTATTGGGCTAGGGTTTCCAAGAGAGTTTTATTAGCTATAAAACTCCTTCTTTCCTCTTATAAGTAGGGCTAATAAGGAGACCCGCGAATTTCAAGAGTTAAAATTCACATCTAAACCTAGAAAGAGAGAATGAAAGAAGAGAACACAAGCACGTTCCTTGCGGGCGATCCAATCACATGCGTGTGGATACCGGTAGAGCTTGGGATTGTTTTCTCGGATTGTCTAACATTCTTGCTTAAGATTGTTATGTAAGTCCATCTAATGTCTTGTAATTTCATTTATAATAAGAACCTCATATCCGGTTGTTTACTTTTGGGCAACAATTTTTTCGTTTATTACGTTGCGTTTTTCTGCCCGAAACCCGACACATGGGGTGGCTCCTTTGGTCATAAGATATCCTGATAAGTCTCTAGGTGAAAGACATATCTTGGTAGAAACACAAACCGGAAGATTAGAACAAACAAATGAGCTTCACCTGACATAATTCGGTCTGCAGTACCCTTTATTATTTCCATATACGGTGAAGATGACTACAGAGAAGACATCTCATTACCAAATTTAAATGCGATTAGGGGTGCTTGTAGAAGAATTGTCAGCGTAAGAGAGTTCTTATGTTCCGTCTACAACAAAGGCAAGAAAGTATTTCATATATTTTGAAAACAAAATGTCTTCTCCAAAAACTCATCAATGATGGATATAGAATGGTGAAATATGCTACACTGAAAATTGTGAGGACTCATTAGAGCCAATTGCGCACCAAAATGTATAAGGGTTTGAGTAACGCTTTACTGGGGAGGGGAAATGATGCATGCACTCATGGCAAGATGGTTGTCATGCACCCATCCTTTATAGGTGGTGTACGCTTTATGATTCAAAATTATCACGACACCATGGCTATTTGTAGATGGGCTGAAGGATTGTTTTGCCCCCATCTTTTATAGGCGAATGGCGATGGTCAAAGCACAACGAAGACAACCAATATTGTTTACAAAGAAGCTTCCCAAAATTCTCAAAACTCATGTAGTACTATTTACCTGTTCTCCTTTAATTGAAAAAATGTCAGTTCTTGCGTATTATTCTTTCTTGGCTAACGGGTCAAGTAGGCTCTCGAACTAACTTAAAAATGCAATTCACCCCTTATATAGAAGGCTTTGTCCGGCCATCGCCAATTGGGGCGGTTCCCGGTGGAATTTTTTTATGCTTGTTTTTTAGTATCTTCTTCATTAAGTCTAGTTTACCCATACAAAATTTCAGATAAAAATTCAATCGAGAAGACAGTCAAATGATTTTCTTAAATGTACTGCGTTGTTATCTTCAAAAAATCATTTGACTGTCTCCCCGATTGAATTTTTAGCTGAAATTTGGTATGAGTAAACTAGACTTAATGATGATGATGATGCTAATAAAAGTCATAAAAAAATCCACCGGGAACCGCTCCAATTGGCGACGGCCGGACATAGACCGTTAGTTCTACGTCCATTGCACTTTTCAAGTTAGTTTGATGGTCTATTTGACCATTTGGCCTTTTTGCTTTGAGTAGTTTTGTATGAAAATTGTTTGTCTGGGCATTATATTGTTAAACTACTAGTAGAAGCTAGTGTAGAAAGAATGAGGACGAGGGGTGGAATGAGAAAATTTGAAAATATTAAATGAACCCATATGTTATTTGTTAAGTTCTAAAATCTACATGATTACAAATTTGTAAGGTTGTGTCACTAGCACGAGTTGTAGTATGTACTCCGTGATCTTCACGAGCGCGATTTTCCTTAGATGCGAAATAACTCCACTTGTTCTGGAGGTGGTGTAACCGTAGGACTCACTGCTTCCAATGGATTTATTCTCTGACTGACATGGTATGAAAGGGGAAAGAAGGATTCCTAGGGGAAGGGTAGCATAATCCTAAGTCACCGGAAAGAGGAATATGTATGTGAGTAATATTAGAGGCATAAAAATTGATCTTTCTATACCACAATTAATTTTGATAAGAATTCAATTGTGTAGTTTGAATTCACAATTAGACAAAATAATATTTGTGAATAAATTTCCAAGTATGTCCTGAAAAGTGTGATAGAAAAAATTGATAATTAATAATGTATTTTTTATGTTTAAAAATCATATTTTACAATTATATAGGGAGTATCACACATAAGAGAATTTGGAACTTACTTTTACAACATCCTAATTGCAGAATAGAGGTAACAATTAACAAAATTTCACTTTATTTTTTCATGGCTATTGTGTTTTTTGATACTTTTTATTTAGGGAAAATGGAAACTAATAATCCAACCTTTTAGCGGTCTTCTTTCAATAATCCCACCTTTTGATTATTCATGAATAATCCAATCTTTGCACCTCATCTTCATTCACTGGTCCCTGGTCGGTTAATGACCTACTATTCCAAGTTATTTTCTAATCTTTGCAAAATATTATCTTTGTGAAAGATGAGATTTATGGTATAATGATTTGCAAAGATAAGAAAATAGCTTAGAATAGCAGGTCATCAGCCGGTCAGGGACCAGTGAATGAAGATGAGGTGCAAAAGTTGAATTATTCATGAATAACCCAAATGTTGGATTATTGTAAGAAGACCGCTAAAAATTTGAATTATTAGTTTCCATTTTCCCTTTTACTACTGTATTTATTACATATATACACTTTTAATAAAAATAACTAAACATTCATCACAACTAACAAAAATAAAGAACAATGGACTCTATTGACGTGACTTGTTCACACTTTTTACATTTGATGTGCTCTAAATCTAATCTGTATGTGTTTAGTTTGACCTGAATGTTTTATCTGAATTTCGTTGATCTAATACTGCGTATGAAATTTGCTGATCTATTATACGGAGTAATTTATTTCTGAGTTTATTTGACTTTTCTGAGTTGGTTATTCTTTTCTGGGTCTCATTTCTTCCTGATTTTTATGATCTGGTTTTATATTAAAATAAAAAAAATACTCCGTAACAGTTACTCGTATACCTTTCGGGCAACTTTACAGCCTATTAGCCTATTGTTGATGAAACCTGTGGAAGCTACGCATTCATCCTTGTATGTTCTTCACCATTCTTATTGATCAAAAGCAGAGAAACAAATTGGAGAAGCTGCGAGGCTGCGATGGCGGTTTCAATGAGAGATTTGGATCCAGCTTTCCAAGGGGCTGGACAGAAGTCGTATCCTTTTTCTAAATATTATTTCGCAATGTAGAACATTTTCTCAGGATGTCTCAACAGCTACATGTTTCTGTCCTCTAATAACTTTAAAAAATATTCCTGTTTTATTCGTGCATACTGCAATTCACTGATCTTTAGCGAATTGCCAAGGGAAACACTATTGAGGTTGCTAGTAGAAAAGGAATGTTTTTTGAGTTCTAAATTAGGGAAAGTTAAGTAAACATGTTTTGTATTTTGGCTTTGTCAACAAAGAAAAAAAAATGATCTTTGTTTTCCAATTCTAAAAAAAGCTACGGGTTTGTTTATTCTAGATCTTCAATGAGATTTTGAGTTTTTTCCATCAATTTTCACTTTTTGAGATTCCTACTTGGATCGAAGAAGAATATTCTGAGAAATTGGGAAATTTCAACCTTTTGTTTTGATTTCTTGAAAATTGTTTCTGAGAAACTTTAATCATTTTTCAGCATGTAAGATCTATGAGGTCATATGTTTCTCCTTGAACAATTTAGTGGGATTGAGATATGGCGCATTGAAAATTTTCGTCCTGTCCCCGTTTCAAAGTCATATTACGGAAAATTTTATACAGGAGACTCTTATGTTATTCTGAAGGTAAGCAGCTCATCCATGAGTTTGCATTAAGTTTGCATCATATGACCATATGAGACAAATCCATTTTAGTAGATACTTCATTTAACTTGATTTCCATTGCCAGATATCTGTATCTTGAACTTTCACATGGCATATATTTGTCCTGCTTATTTTTATGTTTCTGATTCGTGATGTGCACATACTACTACATTGATGCTTGAAGCATTACATTGATGGATTTCTCGATATATGGTTGGTCAGTTTAATTGGGGGTTAGCTTCAAAAAGCTTAGGGATCAAAGCTATAGGTTACTTCTTCAAGGCATCTAGTCTAGGAAACAACTAAGCCTCAAAGTTGTTTGGTTACTTCTTCAATACATTTAGTCTAGGAAACAGATGCATGATCATCTTATCTGTCCTCAAATAGTTGCCCTCTTGCCCTTAATTAAATGCTTTTTCCCGGCTTTTCTCATTAACTATATCCATCACATGTCAAGCTCTTTTTATCAAAGGTTTCTATTTTATTTCATTTAAAGACAATGAATTGTTAAATTATTGCCCTCTATTTAAGGTTTGTAACTATTCTAACCATCACCATAAATGGTGAAATGTTGTGAATGTTATATAATAATTAATAATTAATTAATTACATATCCTATGTATTGATTACTTTTGTATATGACATTGCTAAAACACACATCATTATGGTGATGGTTAGAATGGTCATAAACCTTATATACGTAGTACGGAGTATATGTTAACCATCGACATTTTCGAGTTTCTAATGCACATTCCATTTTCTTCAAATAAAAAAAATAAGAAGCATGCGATGAATGAGTTTGTAATATAAGTACTCCCTCCAACCCAATTCAATTTTCAAAATTTCCTATTTTGGTTGTCCCAAAATGTTTTTTCACTTTCTATTTTAGTTAGGGAAAGATGAATAAAGTGACAAACTTATCCTTACTTTTACTCCTTTTCATTTACATAAATGCCTCTCAACTTTATGTGAGAAAGGTCAAAACAGTAAAGCCAAACATAATTTATTATCTTCCTTATTTCTTGTGCAAGTCAACTTTTCCAAATCAGTTCGGGACGGATGAAGTATATAATTGAGGGGTCATGGGCGTAAGTGGGGGGGGGGGGGGGCATGACCCACTTCAAGTTTGTTGAAGAGCATTATTTTGTGTAGAATTATTACTATGAACATTTATATAAGTTATTTTCTGGTTCACCCCAAATTCAACATTTTGGGATCCTCACTATGCCCATGGAGTGGGCAGTGATTATTTTGACTAAATATGAGAGGGTAATTAATTTATTTTTTTAAATGCAGGGTAGGTTAATTCTTTTGATCAAACTTGGCGGTACTAATTTCCCTAAAACCTAAATATGTTCTAATCGCACAAAAGAGATGAGGCGAGGCTTTGCTTATAAGCGAAAGCACTAAGAGAGGTGTTGTTTTCTAACAAAAATCAGAACTTGTATAAAAGTGAAAAATAAATTATAAGGGGTGCAAATTTAAGGCATAAATTATAAGGGGTGCAAGTTTAAGGCACAATAATCATAAAAGTAATAATAGTATGTCATAGTGACAGAACATCATCACTTAAAGTCATAATATCATCAAATAGACAAGCAGGAGTGGTCCAAGTTACCAATTCCCACACTTAAGATCCTCCCCTTATGAGTGGTCTTGAATTCAAGTCACCAATTGGTGAATTTGAGAGGCTATTCTCAATTGATGATCCTCTAGCCCCCGGGACTAGGGCCGACTAGCTCTGAGTGGTCACGCAATCAGTGTTTTGTCTCCTCTCAAGTGACAATGTGAGAGTTAGCTTCTTATCGATAAACTTGGTGTTTGACCAATCAATGACGGTTCTACCAGGAGCTGCGTTGGGAATCTGGGGACATGAACAATCAATCAGTTAAGAGCGATTTCTTGTGCGTGATGGTGTACAAATGACAGTGAGAACAATTTGAGTCGCAGATTGTTCATGCGACTCAAATTTACTTCTGTCAAGGGTTTAGGGTAGGTTCTGGGAAGCCCAAGATTATTTCGGCAAAGACGAGATCACCTGGTGCTAACAAAAAATAATAACATCAAATATAAGTATATAACCTTCAAGGGTTGGTCAACTGGCTTGACCTCATGGACAAAAGCTCTATATGCGTCGCCACCAGAGTTCAACTTCCAATAGGGCCATTGGTGGTTCACACGGTCGTTAACTATCATGACTTAGGGATTATTTGGGCCAAAGTTTTAGGATACCCGTGATAAAATCATAATAATATCACCACATACGAATCATAATAATATCACCGCATATGAATGATCATAACTCATTTTCTAATTCATAGTGAGACTAGGCTGTTATTGCGAGACAGCAAAGGGGTTTTAGTGTTTGTCAAGGAACTCTAGTGGGGTTTGCACGTGCGTGGAAGTTTGATATTTGACAGAGGTTAACATTAACTCATGTCCAGGTACATCTATATTCTGAAATGAAACCAAACCTTAAAGTTCGGATTTTACTTCAAATATGGAATCGATAGACTAATAGAGTCGTACAAGATCAGATATGTTTAGTATTTTGTCTTTGTTTCACACTTATTAAAACTTTTCAATTTGATAGGGAGTATAATACTGATTTTTATCTGTAAGAGAAGAACAAAAAAATGGAAAGAAAAAGAATAAGGACGAAGAGAGTGTTGTGTGTAAACATAGAACATGAAGAAAACAAGTATAGAGCAAGGAAAAAGTTGAAGTTTAGAATTATTGTATCTAGATAAGTAGATCAAGCGATGTAAGAGATCTGATGTTTGAAATTATACAAAAGAGGATTATACTAAGAAAAGTTGTGACATATCCCTTGGTAAAAAAGAAACTGATCAACTGCTTAGTAGACCTTTTGTTGTGAGAAGCCTGTCAAAGCGATGCTTTTGGCGCTTAAGCAACGGGGCAAAAGCAAGGAAAAAGCGCTGCTTCCTCACGCACTTTGCGCTTCATAAAAGTAATACCCATGGCTGTTGCTTGCTTGCTCTTCATTTCTTAAGCAAGCTTTTGAGTGCTTTTGACAAGTTTGCCTGCATCATATAGGTTTGCTAATATGCATGTGTGCCAGTTATGCAAAACACAATTTCTAGAAATCACAAAATAGCCACTTGCCTTTTTTTATAGTTAACATTTACATTAATTTTTTTGCTTGTGTGTGCTGTAGTTCCCTGATGTTTACCAGGTTTTTATTACTCTTTTTTATGCAGACCACTGCCTTGAAAAGTGGTGCCTTACGACATGATATTCACTACTGGCTTGGTAAAGATACAAGTCAGGTATGCTTTTCCATTCGTAAGATTTAACCATCATAGCTCCTTTGTAATAATTTCTTCTTGATTGACTCTGCTATGAAGGATGAAGCTGGTGCAGCAGCTATTAAGACTGTTGAATTAGATGCAGCCCTTGGAGGACGTGCTGTACAATATCGTGAAGTACAAGGCCATGAAACTGAGAAGTTTCTTTCTTATTTTAAGCCATGTATAATACCCCAAGAAGGTGGAGTTGCATCAGGGTTCAAGCATGCTGAATTAGAAGAGCACAAGACTCGCCTATATGTATGCAAAGGGAAACATGTAGTCTACGTGAAAGAGGCAAGCTATTATCTTTCAGACCTCAGGCATACATATTACGTTATGAATATTCAATTACCATTTTCTGTATTATTGGACAGGTCTCTTTTGCCCGTTCCTCACTAAACCATGATGACATTTTTATTCTTGATACCAAGTCCAAAATATTTCAATTCAATGGAGCCAATTCATGTATTCAAGAGAGGGCTAAAGCACTTGAAGTTGTACAGTACATTAAAGATACTTACCATGATGGAACGTGCGAGGTGACTGCAATTGGTAAGCAATTGTAATAAATTGAGTCGCTGGAATGTTGTCAATTAATTGACTGATTGATTAAAACTTATATTTTCTCTGAGAATGCAGAGGATGGAAAATTGATGGCCGATGCTGACACAGGAGAATTCTGGGGGTTGTTTGGTGGCTTTGCTCCGCTTCCAAGGAAAAGCACCACTGATGGTACTAAAAGTCCAGATGCTCCATCCACCAGACTATATAGGTGATGTATTTCATCGATATGTAATAAAATTTCTAAATATTGAAATATATTTATATTGCTTTTCTAAAGTGAAAGATGCCAAAAGTTAAAGTGCAGATGCAAAAAGATTTTACAGAATATCTGTGTTATGTTTAATTGTTATTGACTTGCGTGACATTATATTGCTATACTGTAATTAAATTTTACATTTATATTTATATTTAAATAAACTCATGAAGTTTCATTTTTGTTTGTCATATCATACTATTATAAGTATAGAGTATAGCTTTTAATTATTTATTACGCCACTAATTTCGCCTTTAAATAACGGTGGTCATTATTATCTTTACAAGTTCAGAGTTGAGAAAGGGCATAGAGTGCCAGTTGAGGCTGCTTCCTTGGCTAAGGAGTTGCTGGATACAAATAGATGCTACATTCTTGACACAGGATCTGAAGTCTTTGTGTGGATGGGAAGAAATACTTCTCTTGATGAAAGAAAATCTGCGAGTGGAGCTACAGATGTAATAATTTACACTTTATTTAGTCTATATTTTTCTTATGGTTTGTCATTTTCTTTTCATTGCATTATTGTTCATTTCACTATGCAGGAATTATTAAGCCCTGAAAGAACAAAATGTCACGTTATTCGTGTCATAGAAGGATTTGAAACAGTGACGTTTCGTTCAAAGTTCGACAATTGGCCCCACTTAACTGATGTTTCTGTGTCAGAGGATGGTAGAGGCAAGGTTGCTGGTAAGTCACTTTCTGATTTTCTATGTTGTTGCAGTTTTACTCTTATGTCTGTAAATTTGACACCTTTATTTCAATTGTCCATTTCTTTCTTAATCCATATAGTTTTAGTTGGTTGCAATTTAAGGCACGTAGCACTTTGTGAATTTGAGAACTTTCTTGTAAAATAGTATACACAACATTGTTTGAGCCGGTGCCTCCACTCCCCTCCCCACAAACCAAAGGAATCAATTTAGTTTTACTAATGTGTATATTTTCTTTTATTGTGATACTTCCCAGCACTTTTAAAGCGTCAGGGGGTTAATGTCAAGGGTCTAATGAAAGCTGCTCCTCCAAAGGAAGAACCTCAACCTTATATAGATTGCACAGGAAACTTACAGGTTCTGTATTGCTAATTATCTTATTTTATGGTTTTTAGAAGCAAAGTATTGCCTGACTATTGGTATCTTATAGGAGAGTTTTACCTTGAAACTTTGTAATGATGATTTAGATTGAAACAATGATGTGTATAAGGAGAATATGAGAAAATGGATTGTTTTTGGAATTTTAGAATGTACTTTGTTGCTAATCTAGGTGGTGTCTGGTATACTGTATTTGATAAGTTGCTTCTGAAATCCAGGTTTGGCGCGTGAATGCTCAGCAGAAGATGCTTCTTGAAGCACATAGTCAGTCAAAATTCTACAGTGGGGACTGCTATATATTTCAATATTCTTTTATGGGTGAAGATAAAGAGGAATATCTTATAGGGACATGGTTTGGAAAACAAAGTGTCAAGGTAATGAAATCAAAATTTTGTTTCTTTTGTTTTCGTGTTCTTCCTATTCTGACATGCACACGTGTGTAAGAGTTCGAGAATTGCAAGTTTAACTCATTCCATTTACCCTTGTCCATTGGAGAATAATGCTAGAAGAAAGAATTCTGATATAAAGTCATGAAGCTGTGTTGTATATATAGAATGGACATAGCAATAGCAAATATCTCAACCTATGAGATGACGTTTTTAAAATTTTCATCTCATTGTTCCCTCTCAAGAATAAGAAGGGCATCTGGTGTAATACATTTAAACCATGTTTTTTTTGCATGAATTTGTGGTGCAAACTACTCCCTCTGTCCCACTATAATTGTCCCATTTTTCCTTTTCCGCCCGTCCCACTAATTTTGTCCCATACCATATTTGGTAATATTTGTGTGGCTCTAATTCAATTTTACTTTATTCTCACTTTATCAACTCATTATCAACCACATAATTCCACTTTTCTTAAAACCACACCACTTCCTTCCGTCCCAATATTAGAGGGACGGATGTAGTATTTTTTAGAAATATTTGACTAAAAATGTAATGCCAGCAACCTCAACTAGTTGGGAGTTAGCTGCAGATAATGATGGAGATGATGATAGCATGAGGAAATTTTACCCCAGCATCAATGAGGATATTAAGCATCTTCCCATTTTTAAAACATATATGAAATTCTTCTAACAGAGTCCAAATAATATTTAATTTTCAGATTTGTGAAATAAACAAGTTTCTTACCATACATTTCCCACCAGTTTGTAACAGAACTAACCTTTTCCCCACATTAAGCGTGTAACTTAGATCTTCCTAATTGGATGCTCTTGATTTTTCTGCACCTTTTCCTTCACCCTATGTACACATTACAATGTTGGCCATTTATTGCACTAGAAATGATAAACCTGTACTTTAAAAATATATTTAGTGAGGTATTCTGATTTCTGAAACTATTGGCCGTTAAGGTTGGGTGTGGATTCTCACCAGATAACAATTTTAATGTTCATATAAACTCCTACGTAGTATGTTTTTTTATTTGCTTCCTTCCCTCTCTTTTATTCTCACTACTGTGGGATTGGGGAGAAGCCATGTGTTTAGTGATGATCATTAGTCTTAATTATGATTAATGAAGTATTACATCACATAGGAAGATCAAGTCTCAGCAACTTCACAAGCTAGTAAGATGGTGGAGTCCCTGAAGTTCTTGGCCACACAGGTAATTACATCTACATAATGAACCTTAGATTTAATCAATAACTGCACTGGGTGGTTGTGCTTTGCTGATCCAGACATTCCTTAGGCTCGCATTTATGAAGGATACGAACCAATCCAGTTCTTTGCGATCTTCCAAAGTTTTATTGTTTTCAAGGTTCGGGAAACTATTAAAGAGTTCCTTACCCTCCCTTAAGATTAAACACTCGTGAGCAGGCGGGTTAACTTTTTTGCATGTCTCCAGGGTGGACACAGTGATGGATACAAAAAGTTCTTGGCTGAAAAAGAACTTCCTGATGACACATATAGCGAGGATGGAGTTGCTTTGTTTCGAGTACAAGGTACTGGACCTGATAACATGCAAGCCATCCAAGTTGAACCGGTATGTTTACAAAAATTAATATAGACATGACTGTCAACATACTAAAACAATTATTAGAGGGTAGATGTGTATAAATGGTAAACTTGACGTGGATGGAGAAACCTGAGGGTTTATAAGACTAGAGACTGAGAGTTACTATACACACAACACATATTTGGTTGTTCATCAGTTTGGCTTTGTCAGTTTTCGGTTTCGGTTCGGTTATTTTAGGCCAATTTGTATCGGTTTTGGCTGGTTTTGATTAGTAGCAGTCATTTTTGTCAATTCGGTTGTTTTTTCTGAAAAAACTCAAACCGTGAACCTAATCCCCTATGGTTTGGTCGGTTTATGCCGGTTTTGGGTCGGTTAGGTTCCGGTTTATCAACTTTTATGTTCTGCCCTAATATATACTTCCTCCTATCTTTAATAGTTGCTAGTTGCTACACTTTGACTTTTACGCGATCTACATATTCTACTTTGGCTTCATTTTATTCATTTATGTAATAAAAAATTACACTATAAAAAGTACTATATAAGTGTGTCAAAGTAAATTCAGAATATGATTTTCATCATTTTACTCATAGCCAACGCAATATATTTATGGTCAAAGTTGTGTGCCGACAAACGTGAAATTCAAAGTGTTGCAACTAAATAAGAACAAAGATACTATGTAGTGTGTGTGTGTGTATATATATATGTATATACAGGGTGCGGTTCTAGTGAGAACGATGCTTAACGTGAGAACGTGGGAACACTCACATTTAAATCAATGTGGTGCACAATGGAGCTATTCTATTGCACATTTTCAATTTGCTCGAGTTAAGCCTATATTAAATAAACACGGTGGCATTTTGGTAAATATTGTGAAAATGTGAAAAAGTGCAATATTCAAGCTTCATTGTGCAACACGTTGGGGTAAATGTGGTGTTCTCACGCTCTCACGTTAAGCATTGTTCTTATTTGATCTTTATTCTATATATATATATATAGGGGTGAGATCACATGCAAACTAGTCCTCCCATGCTAACCTACAACTATCACAAAATGTGCATCTTGACATTATATGTATTGCATATTGAAGTTCAAAGTGTTGCATATTATTTGTACTGCATATTAAAGTTCAAAGTGTTGCATATCATTTGTATTGCATATTGAAATTCACAGTGTGCATCTTTACATTATTTGTACTGCATATTGAAGTTCAAAGTGGTGTATATATATATATATATATAATATGTTTGTGTGTGTACATTGCAACATGCCTTACAAGCAGCAGCATATAAAAAATATGCCTCAAGTTTAACAAAAAACTGAAGAATGATACTTGATAGTTGATACTGAATAGTTAAAACTTTAACTTGAATATGGAAATCTGAAACCTGAACTTCACTGGAACATTTTAACTTCTGTTGAATTGAACTTGACTGGAACAACATGAAGTATAACTCTAAGTTGACTTATGGTGCCCCACGAGTATCCTCAATAATGTTAAAAACTTATACACTGTTTATGTAGGAATATAACGGGCCATAAGTCTAATGGGCTAGACCCTAGGGTTTCTAAAGCCCAGTGTTTGTATTATTATACTTTATCTATTTACCCTCAAGTCGGATCTCATATGTTTCAAGCATGATACAATAAGTCAATGACTGAAACCTAATATCGAACACTTTGGAAAACTTGAACTCTTGAATTTCACTAAACACTTGAAGTTATTATTTAATAGCTGAACACAACACTTCAACTTCTTTTGCTCATATGAGCATTCTCAACACTAACTTTCATTTGTGTTACATTTCTTGACTTTAACTTACTTAACATTGAGAACTTGAAACTTGCTTTGTATGTATTTTTCTCTCCTTTTCTCTTTCTTTTTTTCTGTACTTATTACAAAGCAATACTCAAAATATGAAAACTCAAATTTGTCAGAAAATGATGAAACTTTCACCTTAGGGTCTTTGAATCCTCAGTGCCTCACAAGCAAAATTGGAATTGTTGGAAATATTGCGCTGGTGCATAAGGCACAGTCAGAACTCATTGAGCCAAGAGTCATGTGTGCGAGGGAGAGTGGTCGTGGAGTTTTGGGTGTTGAGTCGCGGTGTCATCTCACATATACTACTATGGTCAATTTTTTGTAGAAGTGGTTGATGATGTTTCAAAAGGAAAATAGGGTGTATGAGAATTTGAGTCCTGGGACCCACTTCATAAATGAGGCCCTCAATTTTTCGGGTTGTAATTTCTCCTAAGATTCCAACCTCAAAGAGATAAATTAAATAATACTAAGATACACAGTCACACAGACCTCGTGACTCAAATCCGATGTCAATCGTCTTCTTTGTATTGTGATCCGGCAGCACTTTAATTATGATGAAAAGGTTATGCAGCAATTTAATAATGAAGTAAGCTTACTGCCAGTTACTCCTCATAATTTTTAGGAAGATAAGCGTACTTACTCAAATACGACTCTTTTTTAGGATGTAGTATAAGATTGAAGGGATGAAAGGTCAAAATAAATCCCAGTCCTTTTACCTACTCCTTTAGCTGATGTTTTTAAGACTGTCCACTAAGGAATGTAAGGATTGCATAGGTAAATAAGGGAGGAATGCTAAGATTGGATGAAAGGTGTGGATTATGAGTGATGTGATCCAAGGAAACTGAGTCAATAATGCAACACCTAGGAACAGAGGTCAAGTCCATAATGCTACACCTAGGATCACTAATCTCAGACATTCATGCAACACCTAGGATCACTAGTACATGTATGAGCATGCTGTTTGGATGTTTGTAAGACTGTACACTAAGGAATGTAAGGATTGCGTAGGTAAATAAGGGAGGAATGCTAAGATTGGATGAAGGGTGTGGATTATGAGTGATGTGATCCAAGGAAACTGAGTCAATAATGCAACACCTAGGAACAGAGGTCAAGTCCATAATGCTACACCTAGGATCACTAATCTCAGACATTCATGCAACACCTAGGATCACTAGTACATGTATGAGCATGCTGTTTGGATGTTTGTAACCTGAGACGCTCATATGCTGCAGTACGTAGATGACAGATGTTGGATATGTAGGTGGAAAACATTGGCTTTCAGATCTAAGGTCTGAACTACGTTGACTTTACATGGTGGTTTACATGCTGTTTCCACTGTCCATGGTATCTCATGCTTTCTGACAGTAGTCACACAAAGGGTGGTGGTTACCTTATAGAAATGGGTGCTATCGTGGAGAAACCATGATGCTAAGACTGAGGAATCAACCAAGGGGCCATGGTTAGACCTTGGGTTTCAGATCCAATGGCTTGAACTATGTTGGATTTATGTGGTTTATCATGCTGTTTCCTGCATTGGTCCTCAGTATGCCATGCTTTCTGACAGTAGTCACCCAAGTTCGGTCACCTCATTGGGATGGCAAAGTGGGTGACTGAGTGCCATCATGGAGAAACCCTTGATGCTAAGTATGAGAAATCAACTGAGGTGCCATGGGTACTTTGATGTTGCTCAATTGAGTCATGTAAATGGAATTGTGGTCCTAAATAGGATTTGATCACGAAGATGAAGAAGTTTGGCCATATCTTGTGAAGAGACAATTCTGTGGTAAGTTGGCCCCATTGTTTTAAGTGAAATTCTACTGATTCAGTTACCAGAAGAAGAATAAGAATAAGAAGAAGAGTGCTGATATGAGAGTCTCATGTTAGGGCTGTCCGACTGTGTGAAGGGACAAGGAACTGTTATATATGATAATTAGTTTATCTTATTGGTACTAGTTTCGTATATTATTAGTAGTTTTCAATTATTATGAGTATTCTATTTTAGTTAATATTTCTATTAACAGTTTGTAATAGATTTAGCCATTTAGAATTACTCTAGTACTGATTTACGAGGGCTCTTAGAACTAGTATAAATAGAGGTGCTCTATTTATTAATAGTATCATCAATTATTTTGGACTTGTTCCATGGAGTCTTGAAAAGGTCAGGGGCCACCTTCTCTTGCTTATGGAGGAGAAGTGCTTCATCTTTGTTGATTATAATCTTTTTGTTTTCATCTCTCTACCACACTCGTAACAGGCTCTTATAGTGAAGAAAGATCAATATCATACCCAGTAAAATCTATTTTCATCTCCCTACCAGCCTTAACAAATGCTTATAGTGAACAAAGATCATTATCTTACCCCAATGAAATCATTTGCTTGAAAAATATAAGGAAAACTCTGAGAATATCCTGTCGAACAACATTCTAATCCTTATCTTCAATGGAAGACTAAACCATATGGACGACAAATGAAATATTCTAGTATTTCATACAAAGGTCGAGTACTAAATGGGCCTAATGGGACATGCAAGTGAGAAAAGTCTAAATGCTAAAGGGATGAGGAGGATAATAACAAAAGAAAGACAGACAAATAAAGGGAATTTTGAGTACACTGTTTGGGGTTTACCTAGACCAAGAGATTGGATTGAATCATTGAAACGGTAGAGAAGCTAGATCAGGAGTCATAACCATCCACAATCACAAAGAGCTACAGCTAGAGCTCCGCTAATATCTTCTGTTAGGTCTTTTGTATCAAAACTTTTGTGCTCCATCCAAATCTTAAGACATCATACGACAAAACAGATAAGGGATGAATCAGATAGGTTGATGTGGCTTGACCTACAAACTAGGCAATAAATAGGAAAGAAAAGATATGATTGCTATTTCAAATTGTTATTTTCTAAGTAAGTATCCAGCTATGTAGCACGGAAACTCTCAGGAAAGAGTACGTTTCCCGTTTCGGAAACTCTCGGAAACTCTTTGGAAACTCTCCAAATAAGCCTTTTTTGAGCAAAAGTTGACGTTTCCCGTTTCCCGTTTCCTCATGATTTTTGCGTTTCCGTGCAACATAGGTATCCAGTCTTAATATTGTCATGTCTTGTTTCTAAATGCACATTTTTCTCATGATTTGTTGTTCTGCGATTTCTAACCCACGATAATGTATGGCTGTATAATATATGCTATGACTAAATTCAGGTTGCATCTTCATTGAACTCCTCCTACTGTTATATACTACAAAAGGGATCTTCTATCTTTACTTGGTGTGGAAATCTCACCAGCTCTGAGGATGTGGAACTTGTTGAGAGGCTATTGGATCTTATAAAGGTATTTGTTACTTTGATGTTTTCTACCCTGTAAGTATCTTTTTGGCTTTCCATTTATCAGTGTAACCTTGTGATCTTTGTTATAATTAATCTGTCTTGTGTGGCTTCACCTCGAGTGCAATTTTGATGAAGTGTACTTCATTCACTTCTTCAGTATGGTATTTAGAATGGAAAGGACCACCAGTCAAGGCCTCACTTGCTACCCATCATAAAAAGTGTCCATATTAAATATGTTTGATCCACGAAAAGCAAGGAAAACCAAAATTTGTCCTTAGTAAGTGCATATCAAAAGGGAAATTTTGTCATTAGTAGGTGATATGTATACTTCAAGGGTATATTTATTCCAACTTTACAATTTTTTGTTTAATTGTTCCAAAAGAGAGTTAAAGATATATTTATTCTCTGGCGCATAGTTCAAGGGTATATTTGTACCTTTTCCCCATATTATTAAAAACATAAAAAGTGAAAACTTTACAATCAATGTTAAAAAGAGATGGACCATTTAGCCTTGTAATTTTTTAGCACTTCACTCAAATTTAATCTAATTTGTGATTTGTAAATTGTAATGCACTGTTTGCAGCCTGACTTGCAGTCTAAGCTGCAGAAAGAAGGTGCTGAATCTGAACTATTTTGGGATATATTGGGTGGGAAATCTGAGTACTCCAGCCAGAAGACTGCAAGGGATTCTGAAAGTGACCCTCATCTTTTCACATGCACCTTCTCAAAGGGTATGAGCTTATCAAAATTCTATCTGCCTCGTATTTGTCCTCAGGATTGATTAAAGTCATTAAACAAGATAAATTGGTTAAATAAGGAGCTTTCATTATATTTGGGTTATACTTCTTTTCACTGCACTAACTGTGTTTTCCCCATCCATTTGGTGACCGTGGAATGCATATCAGGAGATCTGGAGGTGTGTTCCTTCACTTATTCTTTAATAGCTCTATTATAGGACTGTAGTTTTGCAGTTCATCGGTAGTTTGCTTTTATTTAGTAAGATGAGTAGGGAGTGGAAATCAAAATAAAAGTAATGTATTGCTCAAGACAACCTGAAACAGTATTGCTTATCATATAATATACGATGTTGATGTTAATAATCATATATAAGGCTAGATGCTTCCACTATCTTCATCATATTTCCTATGAGATTTTGAATGATGCTTTTTGTTGCAGGTGACTGAAATTTACAACTTCAATCAGGATGATCTCATGACTGAAGACATATTCATCCTTCATTGTCATTCAGACATTTATATCTGGGTTGGGAAACAGGTCGAGTACAAGACTAAAATACAGGCTCTAACTATCGGTGAGGTATGCGATTGGCTCATCTTTGAGCCTTTATTTATGTGTGAAATTGGAAGTTTGTAAGTTTTGCTTACTGCAATCTTGAGCTAGAGCCTAGGGACAATTAAATGCAGAAATATGAAGTATAATGTGTGGGTTTGTATCAGAATCGCGCAAGCAAGAATTACTCAGCCTACTAGAGAGTACCTAATGTCTTGTGTTTTCTGTTAATTTGACGCTTTGGACTTGATATAATGAGCTTTATGCAGCTCTTTTGAGTTCCTTAGCATTTTAAATGTCTATATATTGAAATTAGATTGAATATGCATCTAAGAACATATCAGTTTATGATATTAAGAAAATACAGGGGCTTCTCTAAAGCCTCTAGCAACTGCTTTTGACCCAAGCCCAGATGTAACTTACAGGAGTGAATTTGAATATTTAATATGAGAGAATGGAAGGATTGCCAGTAACATGATCTGTGGTTCCAGAGTCAAGGACCCAAACTGATTTTGATTTGCAGGCAAGATCTGCATGACATATATTGGAAGAAATAGAGGTTCAGGCAGCTTTTTAGCTGCAGAAACTCTTCATACTCTGTATTTTAAAGGAAGTGTTTTCCTGTATTTTCAGCCTCTGGGTTTCAAGCCTCATTTGAGCCACACCAATAACTATAGACTGGGCTTGGGTTTTTAGGAATGCTCACTTGTGTCCTAGACTCCTAGTTTGTTATAGTCTTCCTTGGACATTTCTACCTCCTCTCTGCTATCTGTGTCCTCTTCTGTAATGCTACTTCCTTCGTCCTGCTGGACTTTGCAAATGTTCCATTTTTGAAATTCCTGAAACATTGTCACTTTCCCTTTAAAGTAACTAATTTGTAGTTATTATTTCTATCGTTTACACAAACTTCAACCACACAAGCTTTACTTTTTTACTCCACATGCATGTCAAACTTGGCCAAGTCGAGTGGGACAGAGGGAGTAATTACGTGGTGATGCATTTTCAAGCCTACCAGTCTTGGTTTATGTACTGTGGACCTATTTATCACCAGTTCTGCATAAAAGAGAAATTGCTATTATGGTGGTGCAGTCTGTTGGAATATATTAAGTGTACCATAGGACGTGTACGTGCATGTATGTACATACATATCTCTCTGTCTCTATTTCAGGACACAGATAATTGTTATTTTATATAACAAATAACAATTAGAATTTGTCTATGAACATTCATTTTACGTTGCAACTATGTTCATATTACCATGATTGTAATCTAAAAAGCTAATGCAGGAATGCATCTTCTTACATCATTAGTTACCTAATGATTTTATGTTTTCTGTTATGTCACATGAACTTTGGTTTTATGATTTTTCTTCCAGAAATTTCTCGAGCATGATTTCCTTCTGGAGAGAGTATCTCGCCAGGCTCCAATATACATTGTTATGGAAGGAAGTGAACCTCCTTTCTTTACTCGTTTTTTCATATGGGACTCTGAAAAATCTGCTGTACGTGATCTTGCTGCTTATTTTCTGCTTGATCCTTTTAGTCCATTTCGTTGCTAAAAGATATTGTTTGCAGATGCATGGAAACTCATTCCAAAGAAAACTTACTATAGTGAAAAACGGGGGCACCCCAACAGTGGATGTATGTACTCTCTTCTCTCTCTCTCTGTCATTGTCAGTGCGCCCGCGTGTTTAGCCTTTAGCTAATAACCAGGAAATAGTAGGTCACAACTCTTCAATCATTCTCATGCCTGGTTGGGACTTATTTTCATACACGATTAATTCTATACAAATCTCTCATTTTTCTCGATAATTTTTGTTGGCCACAACTATATTTGTCACTTATCCAGTGATGCTCTACAACAACATCATCAAAGCCTTAGTCCCAAAAGAAGTGATGTTTACTCTCATTGTTATTTTTAGTAATGTTATTAATATTATTTTTGTTATTATCATTATCACTGTCTTGTCATCATCATTACTATCACCATTGTTAGCTTTATTTGTTATTTTACTCCTATTATATACATTTTTTTTAATCTCTTTCTCACTGAACTATGAGTTCAGTGTCCGAACTGAAATTATAATGTAATGGGGAAACATCAGTGGGAGTGTATCAAGACGGAAGTTTCATATAGTCATATTGTTCCTTCAGTATATGCTAGATTGCTAGTATAGTCATACTTGAACATTTAAAATATTATGCCAGTCTTATACATTTATTTACATATACAAAGTGTTTACTAAGTATTCATGAAAGGGATATGCTTTTCTGAACTTCACAATGTGTAACTTACCAATTCAGAGTTTTCAATAGTTTTGCATGTTGGTTCTAATACACCCTAAATTACTAAAATTGGGAGAATGGGAGCTTTATATTGCTGAATGAAACAAGAACGTATGGTATTTTAATTTCCGGGCACTCTGATAAATTGCAACAATAATTTGATTCTTGAGTTGCTCGTGATTTGTATGCGTTGAAGTGTTCATTGGATTTGTTTTGGATGACCAGAAGCTGAAAAGGAGAACAGCTGTCTCATATGTGGGAAGATCATCTGCCCCTGAAAAATCACGTTCTAGAAGCATGTCATCTAGCCCTGACCGAGTTCGAGTCAGAGGCCGGTCTCCTGCATTCAGTGCCCTAGCTGCTACTTTTGAGAGTGCAAATTCAAGAAACCTTTCAACTCCTCCACCCATGGTCAGAAGGGTTTATCCAAAATCTGTAACCCCAGATTCAGCAAAACTGGCTACCAAGTCAGCAGCCATTTCAGCACTAAGTTCAAGCTTTGAAAAACATCTTCCGCCCAGGGATGTCGTTGTACCACGTGCTACAAAAGGTAAAATCTCTTTAATTTCCTTTTTTGCAAAAATATGCTGTTTATGAGTTTAAGGATTGCTTCAGTAAAAAACTAACTTTAAATTGACATGGTGAAGCAAACTCTGAATCACCAACCTCGAGCCCTGGTGAACAATATTCTAAACGGACACCTCCCAGTGCTAGTGGAGGCGCGGTGCCCAAACCTAAACCAGAAACAATTCAAGAAGATCTAAAGGAGGGTGAATGTAAAGATGATGATGGACTTCCAGTATATCCTTATGAACGGCTCAAAACGGCATCAAGTGATCCTGTTACTGAAATTGATGTAACAAAACGAGAGGTATGATTTTGCTAACACTTCAGATATACGCTAACTTTGATTCTTGCCTTTAAATAACTATTATACCTGGAACAATGACTTTGAGCAGACATACCTGTCCTCGGAAGAGTTTAGAGAGAAATTTGGGATGACCAAGGAAGCATTCTATAAGTTACCTAAGTGGAAGCAGAACAAGCTAAAAATGACTCTTCAGTTGTTCTAAGGTATACAAAACCTGTCTACAGCAGTCAGGCACAGTTTCAACTCGATGACAGCATCGGTTCATTTTTTTATATAGCCGCATAACGGAATAGAAGATCCTTTCAATTCTTCATTTCCAGTTGTCTATTTTTTATGGGTTGGTTACTTGATATTCTTTGTGGTTTTATAGGTTTGTTGTTGGCTGTAATTGTTTGTGCTTCATTTTTTCCTTTACATTCAAGCATATTTTATACAAGCTACCCTAAAGCTTTCTTGTATATTAGGGTGTTTTTGGTAGATTACTTGTAGTGATGATCCTTGTGGTTATCTAGATGTACCGGGGGTCGGGGATCTATATAGCCAGTATTTTTATTGGTGGAAATTTGCAAGAAACAGAGCCATCATCATAGGTTGGTGATGCAAATAGAGTGTGCAGAAGTGTAAAACTATAAACTACTCCGCGTGTTATCGCTCGGTCAATGAAGTTAGATTATTTGTTATTAATTCCTTTTGCCTCCTGATTCTTGAATGTGTGCCCTAAAAAGGATTGATTGATGCATGTCATTTCTGCAAATGTTGATGTGGCATGGCATCCTTTCTATTTCTTTTCCCAGTTAAAAATTATAACGACATGATATACCGTATTTACCTCATGAGAAAGATGTGATTAGTTTCATGATGATCTCTTGTGCATATGAGATATAAACCATTTCTACTTTATTGGGTTAGTGAGTTAGTCTAAGATGAGTTTTTGACATTTTTAGCTCAAGCCATGATGTTGATCGGACATTCTTTTTTAATCTAGTTAGCCAGTGAGATTACTGACTTTTGTCTGCATGCCAAACCATTCACACATTATTATATTGTGTACATTATATCGGATGTATGTATAGGGGGTGTTTGGAACCGCTTTTAGAAACTGATTCTGCTCTCCCAAGGAGCACTTTGAAGCAGAATCAGTTTTGAAGGTGTTTGGATCTGATTTTAAAAGTGATTTTAAATGGCTGAAAAATCAGAAAAATCAGATTTGTAGAATCTGGGTAGGAGCAGCTTCTCCAAAATAGCTTCTGATTCTTCTAACTTTATTCATTAAATGCCCTCACTCAATATCACGATGCACGCCACATCTAATTAGGGCCTGCGAGAGCTTGACTTCTTCTCCAGCCAGCTCTTCTTTTCCGGCTCGTTTCTTCTCCGATCAACAGCTCAGGTAAATCACCACCCAGCTTCTTTTCTCTTCTCGTTATTCTAGAGTTTAGTTTTGTTTTTTAATTTTCTCTTAATTATCTTTATTCAATTATTATTGGGGTTGTCCTCATCTTCTCTTCACCCACCAGCTATCTTTTACGGAGTATTTTTTCTTTAACAACTAGTATCATACCCGTGCGATGCACGGGACAAAAATAATCTCACAACTTATTGAAGCTATTTTACAAATTAGAGTGTTATGTAAAATATATTTACTTTAGAGAAATAAAAATCTTGATGTAAGATATATTTATTTGAAATATAAACAATTTACTATTGAATGCAAAAAAACAAAAGAATAAAAACTAACTTGGAGTTACTCATCATACAATTTTAACTCATTCGATTAAAGGAATGACTTTCAAAATAATTTTCTTGTAATGGATATATTATTAGTCATTTCTTTTACTCTATTTTTAAATGCACCATATAGATGACCATGCTCCTAATTTACCCTATTAAACTTTCTTTGTCCCTTTCAATTGGACATCATTGATTTTTCCGGTCAATGATGGTTAACCTTGATTAACCATTTTACTATTTTAGCTACGCGGTAATATATTTGTGTGAAACTTATAAATTGCAAACTTTTACCATAGCATTTTTAACTAACAACATTTACATACCGGTTTCATGTTATTTCTGTGTTTAAATATATGTTATCAATTATAGTTCAGGATCATTAATTTAAAAAGTTTATGATAACTAACTAAGAGTATCTCCAATGCTAAAATGTGCACGGTGCACATGTGGCATGTGTGATAGCCACATAAATATTAGCAAATAAATTATCTCTCTCATTATTTGAATGATTTTATACAATTTTGGTAAGTTTTTCCCTGTAATGTCAACTGCAATGTCAACATTTAGACGGTCTCCTTGACATTGTGGAGAAAAACTTACTAAATCTGTATAAAATCATTAAAATAAGGAGAGAAAGAATTTATTTATTAATATTTATGTGGCTATCTCTCATGCCACGTGTGCACCGTGCACATTATACCATTGGAGATGCTCTAAAAAGGGACGGATATACTGTGTGTCAAGTGATCATAATAATACTTCTTTCTAGTTTGTCAATGTGCTTTTTAATTAGAATTAAGAAACTTCAAATTAAAATAAGTGGACCCACCATTTTGTTGTTATATAGTGAAATCGTTGAGACTCCTACAATATTTTCCCAAATTGTTAACTGTTTTTTACATCACTGACATTAAAGATTTTTAGATTTTATGCACAATATTGAAAAAAAAATCATGTTCAATTATGTCACTGGGCTTGACAGTTCAATTGTCCACATGTTTGCACAATTTTTATTACGTGGGTATTAGCTTTTGGAATAACTAATTTTGATTGAATACTTTATTATTACACATTTACACGTGTGTGCAAATCCTCCCGTAAGTCTCTAGGCGGGAACAGGTTTTCTATATGGTTGTGGGGTGGACTCGGGCCGGGCGGCCTGGGCCGGAACTAGCCTAGCCCGGTATTGTTAGGGCCTGGCCCGGCCGGTACCTGGTCTTGGAGCCGGTTCGGGCCAACCGGAACCGCCCAGTTCCCGGTGCGGGCTCGGGCCCCCTAAAACGCGAATCTGCCCGGCCGGTCCAGGCCCGGTTTGGGCCCAATTTTATTTTTTTTTCAATTTTTTTTATTCTACCGGGTTGGGTGTTTGGGGGGGGGGGTCGGGGATTGATTACAAAAGCAAAAGAAAATAAAAAAAAGCCCGAACCAGAACCGGCCCGGCCCGGAACCGCCGGCTACCCGGGCCGGTTCCGGTTCCACCTTTTCCAAATAAAAGTCCGGCCGGGCCCATGCCTGAACCGGAACCGGCCCGGCCCGAGTCCACCCCTACATGGTTGTGTTCCACGGTTGTGTTTTTATATAGATATATATAGATTAACCTATTGCACCCACTAGCATATTTTATTTGGAATACATTACCTAAGTAATTTTATTTTTTCATATATCTTTATACTAATTTTCAAGCCCGTGCGATGCACGGGCAGTGTGTAATTTAGGTAATTTGAAATTTAATTTCTATCGGATCACATATAATGTGATTTAAAAGAAAAATAAACTTAGTCTAATATAGTCTGTTTGATAATACTAAAATAAATAGAATTAACTTATTTTGCTGAAATTGATTGAATTATGGTTAAATAGGTGGAATCTCCTGAATCATGAAAAATAATTGTGAAATATATTCCACTTGTGAAACAAAGAAAAAATTATATGAAAAAAAATGTTAAATTGGTCTTCTACATAAGCATCTCAAGTAAACATAATTGTTATGAACTCAATATTAATTTTTTTTATATTTCTTAATTGTTAGATATTACAGTTTACTCAGTAATAAGAACGTTTTTAATTGAATTAAAATTTCGGGTTTGATTTGGTATGAATTAATATGGTCTATTAGATGTCTGTTTTTTATGAGACTTATTGTTAAAATTATTAAAGTTTGATCTGATCCGATTTAATCTGGAACTGAAATCAATCCAATTAAAACATTCTATTAAAGGAATTTGTAAACATATAAAGATCTTCTAGTTTAGAATAGGAATCTATTTCAAAAGTGAAGGCATATTTAAATTTGAAAAATGGTGTCAAATAGGACTACAAAAAACTTAATGTAACTAAATAGGAGTCCAAACTTTTTAACTTCTAAATAGGACTTATTTTTCCGTGCCTTCCCAATTTACCCCTATCATATTACTTTGTATTACCTCTGCCTTTCAGTCAACAAACACATCCAGCCATACGATGAGGACAGCAGGGCTTGCTCGCGGAAACTTAATAAGATGAGGACGGCGCGCGGTCGCGCGGCACCGGCGGTTATTGCAGCGGCGGCAACACGTCTGAGCCGACGCTACAAAGACGATAGACATCGAGGAAAGAGATCTACTGCAGCAGCGCCGGCCAAAATCTTATGGATCTCTTCTTCTTTTTCTCTTCCTCCTCATCTCCTACTCTTTCTCCTCTTCTTATTATTTCTTTTGCGGCTCTTTTGCTCTTCGTTTCTTTTCTTCCGATTCGTCCTTAATGGCATTTGTCTCTTCTTTTTTTCTTTCGAAGATGAACAGTCATGTTTTGATTGACCTTGTCCGCGATATTCCAATCACTCCAGGAAGTCCAAAGCACGTGTGTTTGGTTTAAAATTTAAATGTTTTTTCTAATTCCTTTTCCAAATCTCAACTTTAGTTTGTTTTGTTTAATTTTTATATTAATTGCTTCTTCATTGTTATTTTTAATTCCTTTTAGCCATTCACTTTATTTTTGTATCATTTATATTATATTTTAACAGTCAAGGGAAAATAAACATAAAGTGTAAAGTGATGAATGTGAATTGGCTTTGTCTTGCAAATGTTGCGCCTGCTGAAAATAAAAATGTCATTAGTTTTAACAATGTCATTTTCATAATGATTGACATTCTTATGACATTGTCATTGACATTCTTATGACATTATCATTGATATTGTCATCGTGATTAATTGACATTATAACATTTTTCTGACATTGTGACTTTTTTATATAAAATTAACATTGTCATAATAGCTATTGACATTGTCATAATTACAATGACATTTTATAGTATCGACAATAACATTGCCATTGTGACATTTTCTTAACCTGGTGACATTTTCTTATACATTTTTATGACATTGTCATTGACATTGCCATTGTGTCCAGATATGTCAGGTCAACTCGAATTCATTTTGGTTCCACATTTTAAAATTTGAATCACAAATCCAATGTCATCAATAAAAATAATGTCACTTCTTAGCAATTTCAAATATTATTACACATTGTCAATAACAATAAAAAATTATAATGTCAATAACAACTTTTGACATTGTCATTTTCAAAAACTCTGATAATGTCATTGTTTATAGACAATTCCAACCACAATGTCAATAAAAATGTCAATGTCAATTACAATGTTAGAATCTATCAAAATGTCAAAAAATTATTACAATGTCAAATACGTAGTAATATTAATATCAATATTACAAAAATGACATTGTAAGAATGACAATGACAATGCCAATGCCAATATTGCCAAAAATGACATTATTGTATTAATTATAATGCCAACATCATTATTGGAATAAAAAATAGTGGCAATCTTTATGGATTGATCACCTTGGGAGTACAAAGCCAACATTACAAGGAGTCAAGGATAATAGCTAAAATGATTATTGAGCTAATAATAAAAAGGACTCTGCCTGGCCCAAAAACATAGTCCGCAATTAACATTAAAATTAAACAA